CACACACACACACACACACACACACACACACACACACACACACACTCACTCACTCACACATACATACACTCACATTCACACACACTCACACATACATACTCTCACACTCACTCTCTCTCACACACACACACACACGTATACACACACACTCACTCACACATACATACTCTCACACTCACTCTCTCACACACACACACACACTCACTCACACTCACACATACATACTCACACTCACTCTCTCACACACACACACACACACGTACACATACACACACACACTCACTCACACTCACACATACATACTCTCACACACACACTCACACACACGTACACATACATACACTCACATTCACACACACTCACACATACATACTCTCACACTCACTCTCACACACACACGTACACACACACGTACACATACACACACGTACACATACACACACACACACACACACTCACTCACACATACATACACTCACACTCTCACACACACACTCACACACACGTACACATACATACACTCACATTCACACACACTCACACATACATACTCTCACACTCACTCTCACACACACACGTACACACACACGTACACATACACACACACACTCACTCTTTCACACGCACACACACACACACACGTACACATACATACACTCACACACAAATATACACACTCACACTCTCTCACACACACACACACACATACATACACACACACAAGGTCAGAGGTTTGATCACATGACTAACAGTGAAGAAAACGCCTCTAAATATCACTTACCTTGAGCCTGCAGTTACGCTCTCAAACACAGACGATTACGGTCACTGCTCTTCATCATGTTTGCAGATATAATGGCTGTTCCTCCGGCGTACGCAGACCTGGGAAAGGCTGCAAAGGACGTCTTCAACAAGGGCTATGGTAACACGCTTCTCTCCCTCTCCTCTGCAGAAAACACTGATCTCAAACATGCATGTTGTATTCTGTGTTCACGTGTGTGTGTCTTTCTGAATGCTGAAGGTTTTGGGACGGTGAAGCTTGATGTCAAGACCAAGTCTGCTAACGGAGTGGTGCGTGCTTTCTTCTTAATTACTTTCTAATTCACATTTTCTGTGCGAAATTCATCCATGCACATTATTTTAACAGGGTTTATGTGGATCTTCCACAAGTTAAGGTCTTAAATCAGAACAAAAAGTCTTAAATTCATAAAGTCATGGCATTAAATGTTGCATGAACTGCAAAAAATGAACATTTCCCCATTTTTTTGTCTTGTTTTCCAGTACAAATATCTAAACATTAAATCATCCTTTAATTGAGATGCTAAGTAAAGAAAGTCTTGTTTATGCAAGTTTATAAAACAAAATTGTTACACATTTTTAATGGTTTTACTTTTTTTTTTGCTACAAATTAAAAAAAATATATGGTTTTATAATTGTTTCATGGTTTTACATAAAAAAATGAGTAACTTGAAATAACATAAACTTATACAATAAACTGAAATAAAATGAAAATATAATTTATTTCAGCTAGTTACAAAGGCAACATTTCTCATTTTAATGTAGTTTAACTTGAAAAAATAATTAAATTTTAAACAAATAAAAATTAATAAAAACTATCTAGGCATATTTAAAAAAAAAAAAAATAAATAAAACTGACAAAAACACACACACACACACACACACAAAACTTGAACTAAAATTAAAATGAAAAAGGTAATATAAAATAAAAACTAATTCAAAATATTAATAAAAACTATAATAGTATCTAAATTATACTAAAATAACACTGAATGGAAGTCGGAATTACATTTGAGAGCATAGTAAGACCATATTAATGTATTATGCAATTTAAAAAATTGGTCTTTTAAAGGTCTTTAAAACTTCTTAAAATGTACCTTCCTCAAACCTGCAGAACCCCTGTAGAAAGACTTGCTGAGATGTCATCTAGGCCACGCAGGCTGGTGTATAATACTGTATAATGAAGCCTCTTCTTCAACTTTCAGGAGTTTAAAACATGTGGCACGTCTAACATGGACTCAAACAAGGTCAACGGGAACCTGGAGACCAAGTATAAATGGGCCGAGTACGGACTGACCTTCACTGAGAAGTGGAGCACGGACAACACGCTGGGCACGGAGATCAGCGTGGAGGACCAGGTGCAGAAAAATATCTTCATTATCATTCCTACAGTCATGGAGATTTCCTAGCCTGGAAAATAAATCCTAAGAATTTAAGAATGTTTATACAGTACGTGTAAACATACATTCCCAGTCAAAGGTTAGGAATAATTAAGTTTTTTTTTTCTGCTCACCAACTCTGCATTTATTTGATAAAAAATACAGTAAAAACTGTAAAATTGTGAAATAATATTGCAATGTATAACGGCTGTTTTCTCTGTGAATATCTGTTAAACTGTAATGTATTTCTGTGATGCGCAGCTGTATTTTCAGCATCATTCCTCCAGTCTTCAGTGTCACATGATCTTCAGAAATCAGTATAATATGCTGATCTGCTGCTCAAGAAACATTTCTGATTATAATCAATATTTTTGCTCAAGTAGATGCAAAAATCACTTTTCAAAAGCATTAACAAATCATAATTATTCCAAACTTTTGTGTGGTAGTGTTTGTTTTTATAGTGACACTCAGTGCTAAAACCGTATTTCTTCAGCTGGACATCACTCTTTGCAGATGTTTTAAGCACTAATGGATTCTTTTACTTTTCACATTTGAACCCTTTCAAGATGATTAGCAAATTAAAATCAAGTGTCCTTTAATGTGCCTTAGCAATCCATTATTTATTATTTAAATATTATTGTTAAATATTAAAATATAATTATCATTATTTATTATTATTTTTATTATTATTATTATTGTTATTATTAATGAATGAATTATTATTTAAAGTAGTATTAAGTAGTCATTATTAATATAAATAATAATAATCATATATTTATTTCTAATTTATTTATTAAATGTAATTGTGTTTATAATTTATAAGAACTATACATATTTTTAACAATAATAATAAATAAAAGTACAATTAAATATGTTATTGTTTGTTTGTTTGTTTAAATTATAGCAACAATTTGCTTGTGAAAATAAAAATGCATTTTCTCAGTTATCATCATTTTCTCATCATTAGTATATTTTGTCATCATTAGTTATGTTATATTTTGTGTTTCTCAGATCACCAAAGGACTGAAGCTGACCTTTGACACGACCTTCTCGCCAAACTCTGGGTACGGTGACTTCCTGTAAACGTCACATCTTGAGTATCGTGAGCCTCAGATGAGGTGATCTCTGAGGTTTGTGTTGTTTTAACAGCAAGAAGAGTGGCAAGGTGAAGACGGCGTATAAGCGTGAATACGTGAACGTGGGCTGTGATGTGGATTTCGACTTCGCCGGTCCTGCCATCCACGGAGCGGCGGTGCTGGGATACGAGGGCTGGCTCGCCGGATACCAGATGACCTTTGACACCGCCAGGTCCAAAATGACCCGCAGCAACTTCGCAATCGGATACAAGACCGGAGACTTCCAGCTGCACACTAATGTGTAAGAAATGCACCGGCTGCGGTGCTTCAGCAAGCCCTCATTAGTTGCTTAATATTGATTCATGTTCTTATTTAATATAA